ACGTTTTTTTGAAAAGAATTCGAATTAACTTCGATAATGTCGGTCTTGCTATTTATCAGGTTGGATTAATTTTCTTAAAGCTCCGCTGAAATCACGTTTTTGTTATATAGCTACGATGAATGTTCCTAGTCCAGGGGTGCCTCAAAACTTCAATGTTATTTCCTAATATTTGAAACTATATGTCATTCTCTATTACTTGCTAATCCTATAATTTTATTCCTCAATCGAAGAATGCCTTTGGAAAATCGACTCAAATAAGATGAAGTTTTCAAATTGTGTACCTCTTCATTGCCGCAGGGCTAGGAATTTGAACATATTGGATTGTATCAATCCACGTTCTGTATATAAATTCATAGGTGTCTTGCATTCTCTTGCTTATCATCTGCTAGACCTCATATTGCCCCTTCAGCACTTTCATTCGTTTTTTGGTCAATTCCAATTTTATTAAGATACTCACTAAAGGGTGGTTTCGGTAAGGCCATATTCAAAATAACGCGTGCAACTTCAAGAAAGGAAGGAGATCTCAAAATTTGCTGGCTAGAAAGAATGAGCTTTAACTCAGTTTATTATCAAGAATTGCTCTCTACCTTTTGCTTTGGCGATCTATTAATGAAAAACAAAGTTAGGGATGCCAATAAGGAGCAAACTTCCTTTCCTTACGAAATGAATACCAGGGGTTTCCGACTAAGGGGCACAACAGATCGTAAGTTGTAGCAAGTAGTGATAGTGAGATCAAATCTTCAAAATCTTAGAAAAATTTATTAGGATTTATTCTAAGAACACTTGATATAACAATTGCACTTGCATTTAATTCCACTCTTTTGCTTTACTACGAATCCTCCAATGGGCCTTGCAGAGAGGCGGAAAAAAGTTGGAATCCCGTAATTCTCCTATGGAAGTACTAAGTATTAGATAAGTGATGTGCTTGACTTGTATCCGGAAATGAAGCTTCATCTTTCTGCGATGTCTCTTTAGAATCCTCATAGTCTGGTCCAAGATTGAATAAGCAATAATTACCTTAGACTTATTCCTGCCTATAGCTAACAATTTTCCAAGTCATTTTTGTTTTTTGATTAGAAATCGCCAGATTTAAAAAGCAATTTCTAACATAATTCATGCAAAAGCCAGTCATTGAATAGTGATCTAGCATAAATGCTCAAATCCTCAATTGAATTTGAGTGGTGCTTTAAAAGTGACCTAAAACACCTTTAATCATCTTATTCTTGGTTATCGTAGGACAAAGCATTCGGCGGCTCTCCATAAGCAACACATTAGTGGACTACTTTCATAGCGAACGCCTCTAATTTTGCAGCTCATTCAACTACGGGACGAATTTGTTAGAAATTACGGAACTTTCGAATGAAGGAGGGAGGGGGAATAAGTAGCAGCTGAATCTATTAGGAGAGACTACCTTTAAAAAAATTTGTTTTAGAGGCTCTTTTCGTTAGATTGAGATGGCATGAATGACCGATAAAACGTCTTGCTCTTGTTATGAGACAATTAGCTATGGAACAAGATTTTAAACTTATCTGCTTTTCAAGTATAATATGAGATAACAAAGCATTGACTAACACCTTGATCTGAGAGCAGCCAGTCCAAGGACGACTTTTTTTT